TGGATTACAGAAGACGGTGTTGGATCCCCTGCAGCTGGAGTTACAGGCATTTATGAGCTGCCAGACACTGGTGCTGGGAACACTGGTACCCCGAGTGTTGAATGTACTCTTAGCTGCTGAGCACCTCTCTAGTCCCTAGATATCTGTAAAGGCAAACAAAACAAAACAAACACAGGGGATATCTTAGATGAGGTCCCGTCCCTGTCTGGTCTTGTTTCTGTCTCCAAGGGGTTTCCTTTGCAAAGTTGGCGCATGACCTTAGAACAACTTCTTGTGCTGACCCGTTGGCATGCTGTTGAGTTGTTTTGTACATTTGGAGGGCTCATAAACAGGTGACCATGTGGTTCACATCCTTCCCGATCTTGTTTTTGTCTCTTCCTCATTACAGTTATGAGAAGCATCTTTGCAACACCCGTAAACATGCAAAAATAAATTCTTATCAAACAATAGATAAGAGAAAGCTTCCTCAGCTAGATAAAGGGTCAGTTATAGGAATGTTTTACTTAATCATGGGATATGAAAACAGTGTTTTTGATATATTTAAGAAGAAAATAAAGATACCTCTAGTATAGGAAGTTTAAGCTTCCTTAAAAAAGAAACATTGAAGCCTTAAGTTAGGACCTGTGAGTGGCACCTTACTTAGAGATTTTCATTCACCCCCATCATCCACTTCCTTACTGTGGACGCTGGGTTACTTCCATGCCTTAGCTGCCGTGAACGCTACAGTACTAGGGGCATCTGGTGCTTTTCTTTTGATTTTTGTTCTTTTGGTGGAGTGCTTTTAATTTTTTACTTTGTTAGCTCATTTTACTTGTACATATTCATATCGAGTGTGCTATTTTCACATATGCATATAGCGTGCAAGCATATCTAACCTCTACTCTTTTTCCATACTTGCTCCCCAATTCTTCTTCTTCTTCTTCTTCTTCTTCTTCTTCTTCTTCTTCTTCTTCTTCTTCTTCTTCTTCTTCTTCTTCTTCTTCTTCTTCTTCTTCTTCTTCTTCTTCTTCTTCTTCTTCTTCTTCTTCTTCTTCTTCTTCTTCTTCTTCTTCTTCTTCTTTCTGCTAGGTGAGGTATGACAACCAGGAAGGGACAAATACTAAGCAGTTCCCCTTACAGGTGACTTTTGAAAGAGTCAGATTCCTAGCCTCAGGCTACACAGATGATTCCAGGGAGATTTTAATAGGGGATTTTAATCGGCCTAAAGTTTTCAATTATGCAAGGTAAAACAGTTACTTTGTTTACCTTACTTAACTTTCTTCACACACAAAATCTCCATACGCTCAAAAACACAATTACCGTCTTCAATGATTACACTGACTCTCCTCAGAGAAAATCTACAGTGGGACACCTAAGGCATGAGATGGGGCTCAGCCTCAGAGTTTCTGACTTCCTGAAAGTTAAGCGTTTAACTTTCAGGTTTAAGCGTGAAATACTTACCCAGGCCAGAGTAACCGAGTACTAGGGAGAGATGATAAACTCAACTACACAGAATTAAACATAACATGCAAGCACTAATGATACGTACAGATCAATGCCAAGTAACTCAGAAAAACAGAACTTAAGAATTTAAGAAAACCGTTTGAAGCTCCTGGAAGGGTGCAGTGGGGAAGGACTCGGTTTTCTTTAAGGGGTTGGCCACTGAGAGTCTCTGACCATGCTCCAGGGAGTATAGGGGCAATACAAACTGGACTTTTCTTTTTCTCCTTCTCTTTCTTCTGGGGAAGGAGGTCATAAGGGGGTGAGGGTCTGACCTGGGAGGACTGGGAAGTGAATGTGATCAGGGTGCATGAAGTGAAATTCCAAAATCATCAATAAAAATACGATGTTTGCCGGGGGAAGAAAAGTATTTGTGGTGAAGACTGGATTGTGAAAGTCATTTCTTTATGGCTGCCACATGATTTCAGCACAACCTAATAAAGTACTGATTACAAAAAAAGAGAGTTTTCGCAGGTGTGGCAAGGGGCTAGAAGTGCTGGCTCAGATTTGTTATCTCAGAGCTGGTGAAGCTGAGGTCGGAGTTTGTTATAAGAAGCCTGGGCTACATAGTAAGTGTCCGGCCAGTTTGTGTTATAGTGTGAGGGAGGCCCCATTTGAAAATCAAAACAGGGCCAGTGAGATGGCTCAGCACTTCAGTATACTTGCCTGTCAAGCCCGATGACTTGAATCCAATCCCTGGAGTTCACGTAAATATCAAAGGAGAGAACAGATTCCATAAAGTTATCCTTTGGTCTCCACAATTTATGGTGGCCATGTGTGTGAGTGAGTAAACACACACACACACACACACACACACACACACACACCACACCACACCACACCACACCACACCACACAAGCTCCAGGTTCAGTGAGATTCTATCTCTCAAAACAAGGTGGAGGAGTTGGAGAGGTGGCACTTGTTATTCTTGTAGAGGATCCAGTTCCCACACTGTGGCTCACAACCATTTGTAATTCCAGTCCTTCTGGCTTTCATGTGTGTGCCAGCAATACACACACATACACATACTCACACACACACTCAGTGAATGTTGTCTGATGAATGATACCTGTATAAGTTCACTCCTGGCCTTCACATGTGTGTGCACATAAATGCAAGCTCCATGTATGCACCACACACATGCACACATGTGCGCACACACACACAAACACTAATAATAATATTTTATAAATTAAAACATAAGGTGGAGAGTGATAAAAGACATCTGATCTTGACCTCTGGCGTCCATGTGCACACATACATGACATACCTGCACTTACATTTGAACATGGACACGTACAGAAAAAAAAGTCTCTCTTGCTCTTTCCCTCATGAAATAAAATGCAAAAAGAGAAAATCCTGTAGATATTGGAAAGATCAAAGCTAACATAGTCCTAATTTATGGAGCTAATGTTTGAGTTTATTAATGGCCTTGCAGGACTGAGCTAAAAAGGACAGCTTAGAGACTGGAGAGATGGCTCAGAGGTTAAGAGCACTGACTGCTCTTCCAGAGGTTCTGAGTTCAGTTCCAGCAACCACATGGTAGCTCACAACCATCTGTTCTCTCTTCTGGCCTACAGACATATATGCAGGCAGAATACTGTATACATAATAAATAAATAAATCTTTTAAAATCAGGATAGCTTTTTTTAACTTCCCTTTTCATACATATTTTTGCAAAACAACCTCTTCAATTATTTTCCTCATTTTTTTTCTTTGGTGTGTACAATTTTTCTGGTTTTTCGAGACAGGGTTTCTCTGTAACTTTGGAGTCTGTCCTGGAACTTTCTCTGTAGAACAGGCTGGCCTTGAACTCACAGAGATCCATCTGCTTCTGCCTCCTAAATTCTGGGATTAAAGGTGTATGCCACCACCATCTGCCATGTATAAATTCTTTAAAAACCATACAGCATCATTTCTGTATTACATTTGTCAGTGAGCAAGACAAATCTGCTAACCATACAATAAAACATTCCCCTCTTTTTTCCTTGCCTCTCCAGCTCCGAGATGCCCAACATATGTCATGATAACCAGCGTGTGTCATTGTTCTGGGCATTGAACTCAGATCCTTATGTTTGTGAGACAAATTCTTGACCAATTAAGCTGTCACTCTGGTGCAGCTACAGTGAGGTTTTGCAAAGACCCTACTTGCCATTTGTAGTAAGGAGGCTGCTTGTTTGTTTCCCAACCACCTGGCTGCCAAACTCCCAAAATAACCACATAGAAACTGTATTAATTAAATCACTGCTTAGCCCGTTAGCTCTAGCTTCTTATCAGCTAAATCTTACATCTTAATTTAACCCATTTCTATTAATATATGCATCACCACGAGGTCATGGCCTACCAGCAAAGTTTCAGTGTGTCTGTCTCCAGTGGCTCCATGGCTTCTCTTTGACTCTGCCTCCTTTCTTCCAGCATTCGGTTTAGTTTTTCCCACCTGGCTCTATTCTGCCCTGATCTGCTATAGGCTCAAAGCAGTTTTTTTTTTTATTCACCAATGGTCACAGCATTCAGAGGGGAATCCCACGTCACCCATTGGTGAGAACATTCGTCTTTGACTCTTGCCTGCAGTAATTACAGATGAGGTATCAGAATGGCGATTTCTTACTCCTTTATGCATTTATCAACTGGAATCCATCTAGAATGAAAACCAACTGGACTTTCTGATGGATGTGAAGGCTGTCTTCAATTATCAACTTTGCACAGCCTAGAATCACCTTGATAGATAGTTTCCGTAAGGGACTATCTGAATCAGGTTGACTGTGGGGCATGTCTATGGGGGACTATCTTGATTGCTTCAATTTTCTTTTATCTGTAAGTGGGTGGCCTGATTCCCTGGATGTGGGCCCTGGATTGTACAAGACAAAGTGAGCTGAGCACCAGGAGCTTATGTTCACTTTCCGCTGCTCTTGACTTTGTGTGCTATAGCTTAATGCTTCAGGTTCTGCCTCTGCAACTTCCCAGCAAGGATAGAGTATACCTGGGGTTGTGAACTGTAAACCCCCTTTCTTCTCAACCACTTTTTTTTTATTATTATTATTATTTTATTGAGAATAAGAAAAAAAAGTTTCCGCCTCCTCCCAGCCTCCCATTTCCCTCCCCCTCCCCCCACTCTTCTCCCCCTCCCCCCTCTCTTCTCCCCCTCCCCCCACTCCTATCCCCCTCCCTCTCCTATCCAAAGAGCAGTCATGGTTCCCTGCCCTGTGGAAAGTCCAAGGTCCTCCCCCCTCCCTCCATGTCTAGGAAGGTGAACATCCAAACTGGCTAGGCTCCCACCAAGCCAGAACATGAAGTAGGATCAAAACCCCTTGCCATTGACCTTGGCTTCTCATCAGTCCTCATGATCAGAGAGTCCGGTTTTATCCCATGCTGTTCCCGTCACAGTCCAGCTGACAAGTGAACGCAGAGCTGCCAGCAACTGGAGCAGCACGTTCTTCTTTGAATAAAGAGCTAGAAGATTCCAGGTGATGGTGTGCAAGAAGGATAGAAATATGTAGGAGTTGAAGATGGAGAAGGCCTGCAAAATTCTGTTCTTTTTTTTTTAAAGGTTTATTTATTTATTGTGTATACAGTATTCTGCCTACATTTATGCTTGCAGGCCAAAAGAGGGCACCAGATCTCATTACAGATGGTTGTGAGCTACCATGTGGTTGCTGGGAATTGAACTCAGGACCTTTGGATGAGCAGGCAATACTCTTAACCACTGAGCCATCTCTCCAGCACCCTGTTCTTTTTTTTTTTTAGTACAAATATGATTTCACAGTGGCCAAGGCTCCACAAAATCGGGCCTCTCGACATTCAGTTATAGATCAGGTAAGAGCTCACAGGGCCCCATCTCTCCCTGCTAAGTTGTTGGCTACTGACGGACTTTGGGGGAGGGGCAGTCATTGTCTTCAGTTGTTGATGAGCCTTCTAGACTCCACTGGACAGTTTCGAACTCATAGCCCTTGTTAACTTCAGTGGGTCACAAAACCACGCAAAAAGTCATAAATGGGGGAAAAAAGAGAGGGATTCAGGATGGGTAGAGGGTGACAATAACCAGAATGTACGATAAGCAGATTAAATAAAAATTATAATCCTCCAAATATTTGGGAGCTCAATCTTAGGGTCTAAAACACTGAGGCTCACCATGTACCCTAAGGGGTGAAGAGAGAGCCAGGACATTAACACAATAATTCCTGATCGTGACTAATGAATGAGGAATTGGTTCTCTTGTACTTCTAGCCCACAGACTGAGTTCCTGAAATCAGGAAAGGCATCCGTAGAAAGGCATGCAGGTGGGAGGAAAGAACTCAGTGATGTTCTGAAGCCACGTGTCATCCATTGCCCATGGCAGCACACGCTCTGAACTCAGAAAGGAAGGGAGAGGAGATAAAAGGAACCCATCTGAGGACCTGGATCCATATTATACCTGGTCACCCCGTTAGAAGGCAAAGGTGAACCAGAGCCACAGCTGCCAACCCCAAGAGAACCTGCAGACACCTGAGGATTATACAGAAGGGGTCCAGCAGGAGACAAGCTACCTGCCAGGGAAAACTCCCAGAGATCTTGTCTAGGCAGCAGTGGCCACAGATACGTATCACAAACTGGCTTGGCTTTGGGTGTTTGGACTTTGGCGGTGGTGGAGAGAGGTTGGCTATCACTTGCTAGGGCAGGAAGCTTTGGGTTTTTTGCAGATCCAGAATTTCTTGTTGTAACATTTGGTGTCGTTCCAGCCATCGTCTCTGAACTCCGCACAGTCTTCTTCCCCTAGGTTGTTGGGCTCTCCTTTATTCCAATACTTCATGAAACTGCAAAGACCACAAAGACATGAGATTCCGCCCCAGTCATGTGCCGTAAGTGCCTTTTTGGAGAGTGAATGGCAGATTTGCTTTGTATACGACATGATCCCACGACATGACATGTCTGAATCACTCTGATCTTTGCACCTTATCCATGTCTCCCATGATTGAGAGGACTTGTTCCAAGGAGGGGACGGTTGTCAGATGCAACAAAATAACAACAGAGACTCCACATATACAATTACCTCCTTCACCGAGTCAGTCCACAACTTGTCTACGACTAAAACAGCTAAGAACACCAGACAGCTAAGGACACCAGACAGCTAAGGACACCACACAGCTAAGGACACCAGACAGCTAATGACACCAGACAGCTAATGACACCAGACAGCTAAGAACACCACACAGCTAAGGACACCACACAGCTAAGGACACCAGACAGCTAAGGACACCAGACAGCTAAGGACACCAGACAGCTAAGGACACCACACAGCTAAGGACATCAGACAGCTAAGAACATTTGCCAGCTGACAAAACTAGTTTCGCCTGGGAAGTGAGAATATGCCTTTATAAGATTGACCTGTAGGGTAGCCTGTTGGGGACATTTTCATCATTAATGATTGATATGATATGTCCTTGCCCACAAAGAGAGTTGTCACCCCTGAGCAGGTGGTCCTGGGTAGCATAAGAAAGCCATGGATTCCATTGGATTGCCTATGAAGTGATTCCTATTTAATGCCCCCCCCCCCCCGCCACCCTGGCTGTAAGTCTTTCTTGAAGTTCTGATGATGGAACCCCAGGCACCTGCCATCCTATCTGAACCTCCTCTCCCTGCCATTCAGCAAATGTTCCAAGCTCTAATGCCAAGGTGACCAGGGGGGAGGAGATGAACCCCAAGGATGCCTCTAGACAAAGCCTTAAAACCTCATCCCGCTGTGTAAGGTATTCCCTTCGTCCGGTATTTACCTGAGTGTCAGAGGTGAGCCATCCACCCAGTGCCATGTAGCTTCATTATTTATGTCAATGAGCCCCATCCAAGTGTAGCCTCTTTTCTTAGAAGCCTGTTGTAGAAAGTTCTAGAAAGGCAGAAGAGGACGAGTCAGAAAGGAGTTCTGCCTCTTTCTTCTTTCCAACCAGTGTTTCCCCAAACTCTTGGTGGGAAGTTCTGCCTGCAATCTGACGTTCAGTTTTACACCTTATAAGGCTGCGAACACCATGCGTTCTGAACTCTCCACATCTGTGTGCTGTGGGCAGATGTGCTCTCACGCACAGAATGTGCCTACCTAGCGTTGTCCTGTACCTATCTGTCTGGAGGTTATCCACACGTCTGCGTGACTTTACTCGTGACTGGGTTTAACTGGCTGTGTGAGATCAAACAAGTTCATGATTACTGAATGTCTCAGTGACCTCTGCTTGCTCAGCTCTGAATCGACTGTGTCTTGCTGGTGCTTCAAATCAGTAAGGCTGGTGATATTTATACCAGGGAAATAGGGGCCTTACCCACTCTGAGGATTAGATGGGAAGTGGGGGGAGGAAGGTGTGAGGACCAGGAGGAGGGGAGGGAAGAGGGAACTGGGATTGGTATGTAAAATAAAAAAGATTGTTTTAAAAAACGAAGAAAAAAAGGGCACACATCAGGAGGTTTTTTTTTTTCCCCAACAGAGGAAGTTGTAAAGGGCTGGTCGCAAATCTTAGGTGTTCCCCCAAAGCATAAATCACAGTAAAAACTACGGTAGTGGGGCTGAGGAAATGGCTTAGTCAGACAAGTGTGTGCCACACATGCGTGAGTTTGACCCCCGGGCAAGCAAGTGAAAAGCCTGCTGTGACGGTGCACACTTGTAATCCCAGCATTGGGTAGGCAGAGATAGGAGAATCCCCGGGACTTGCTGGCCAGCCAGCTCAGCCTAAATAGAGAGTTTCAGGTCCCTGAGAGATCCTGCCTTAAAAAAGGTGGACAGCACCTGGGGCCTGATGCTCAAGGCTGACCTCTGGCCTCCACACGCACACAAGTGCGAGAGTATGTGTACATCCGATGACAGCGTCAGGTGTGGATCCTCACCTTCTTTGAGACAGGGTCTCTTGTTTATCACTGTGTACACCAGGAGAGCTGCTTTCTGGCTTCCACAGGACCTCTTATCACTCCCTCCTGTTTTACTGCAGGACACTGGGATTACAGATGTGTGTTCTCAAGCTGGGCTTTGTGTGGGTTTGAGGGGTCCAAACTCAGGTTCCCATGCTTGCCTGGTAAATGTGCTTCCCACCGAGCCTTCTCTCCAGCCCTGGAGTACGCCTTTTTGCAGGTGCTCTGACATCATTTGTAACCTGTCATCCTCCTCTTTAGACAAGCAGCTTCTATTCTAGAACATTGTATCCAGCCAAATACTTACTCCCCCCAGCCAGTGGCCGGAGGCAGCTCCAGATGAGGACTGAGCCCCACCAGGCATACCTGCTCTTCATCACTCTTGATGACCACAAGTTGAGCCCCCACATTCTGGCAGGCAGTGGCAGAATCATTCCAGGTCCTCTGGCTCACAGAGAAAAAGTAGCAGCTTCCTTGAAAGGGTGTCCAGTCCCAGGGACAGGGGCGGCACAGGCGATCTGTTGGAGGAGGCAGGTCAGGATGGACGCATGCTTCTGTGACTGCTTAACTTCCAAGGCCTCCAGAATCAGGCCCCTCCTTTGACACAGAACCATAGGGAGCCATTCTCTACTCCACTTCTTGAGTCCCTTATCTACCCAGGAGATTCCAGGAGTCCTAGCCTGATCTCCAGACAGGAAGAGGTTGCAGTTTAGAGCTAGGAATGGAGGTCAGGAGACAGGTTTAACCAAATATCACCCATGTGCGTGCCCCTGTGAACATTGGGTGTCTTATGCGTGCACAAGCCTGTGAACACTGAGTGCCTAATGTGTGCACAACTCTATGAACATGGAGTGCCTCATTTACACAACCTCTGTGACATTGTCTAGTGTGTGCACAACCATGTGAACATTGAGTGCTTACCATGTGCACACCTACCCCGTCCAGGCTCCTGTGAATCTTGAGTGCCTATTTTGTGCACAATCCCTGTGAACACTTGACTGCCTATTGTGTGCACAGACTCTAATCAACACCAACGAGATACCTTCTTTAGTAATTACACTACATGCCCATTCTACAGGAGAGGAAACCGAGGCGCAGCAAAGAGCAGTTATTTAAGCAAAGTGACTCTGTGGAAACCTTCTCTGGCTGTGATAGCCCTCATTTCCAGTTACTCACCTACCCCAGCCTTCAGCTGGATTAGTTCCCGGTAGACCTCCTGGCTGGACTGCTCCTGTCCCTGAGAACTGGGGATCTTGAAGACTGGTCCGAGAGAAACAAGTCACTGCAGTTAGTAAATGTTTCTATTTTTTCTTGACCTATACTAAACTCGTAGGACCAGGACATCCTTTTTCCTTTCCCTGCTTTCCTTCTTCCTTCCTTCTTGTCTTCCTCCCTCCCTCCTTCCTTCTTTCCTGAGACAGAGTCTCATGTAATTCAGACTGCACCAAAAGTTCTATGTAGCTGTGGTTGACCTTGAACTCCTGATTTTCCTGCTTTTGCCTGCTGATTATTGGGGTTATAGGAATGCACCGTCAAACCCAGTTTTATGTGGTGCTGGGGGTGGAACACAGGATTTTGAGCTTTCTAGGTAAGGGATCGACCACTGGAGTGATGTCTCCAGTGGTGTCTAAAGCCAGTGTTCCCCTGCAGAATGCCTATTCAGAGGACCATGAGGACACAATCCCAGTCAGTTGCTCCTCCCTTCTGGCTCCCTCTGGTTGAAGAGCCGGACCTGGGGGCCCAAACCTCAGTCCTGCCTGACCTTTCACAAGGATGACGAGCAGCAGCACAGAGAAGACAATGAGGAAGAAAGCCTGCAGTGCCAAGGGGACGTGGTTGAGGCCCAGGTGCCCTGTGGGAGGGAAGGGTGGAATGTTAGCACCTTGGTGTCTCTGACTCAATGTGGCACGAGACAGGCAGCGCACCAGTCTCATTCTGAAGGCACAGGATTACAGTCCTGGAGAGTCCAGGACCATGTACACAGGATCTGAGCTTCTAACTCTCTGGACTCCCGTGGCCAGAGCCCCAACCTCCACCCCCACAGGAACCCAAGTATCTGCCAGGAGCAGTCCACAGTCCCTCAACCTCTTTTACCTGCGAAGCTACTGAATCCAGAATTTGGTTGGAAGCCAAAGCCTTTGATGGAGTACCTGGTGGGGCCGGTTACCAGCTGTTCCTCATCTGAGTGGAAAGAGTGTCAGTCACAAACAGGGTAGCCTGAGACACGCACCGCCCCAATGGTGCCCCATCCCCAAGTTCCCGGAGTACCAGCCCAGTCTCACCGAGAGGGCCGAGCTGCTTCTTCCCCATTTCCTTGGAACCACTCATCTCAGCGGAGAAGCTGGTGGGGACAGCAGCTTTTATTCACCACCTCCCTGAATGTAGTCTTACTTAGGAAGAGAAATTGGGAAGTGGGTACTGACGCCGGAAGAGTCAGAGGGAGGGACCTGAGCATCTGACACAACAGGCAGGAGATACATGTTCCAGGAATTTCAGAGAGTGGCGAGAGGGTCTGGGCTTCACAGCGAAAAGAGCCAATTCATTTCCAGTATGGTCAGTTCAGAGACATCTTCCATAGAAACCAGTAACTTGTAAAACAAAGTGACACCATTGTGTCTTTTTCACTTATCATGGGGTGTGGGCTGGGAACACCATATCTTCCCAGAAACAGCACCCCGCAGACACTAGGCATTGCAGTCTTGGTTTACTGAATGGCCTTACTCATGTGATTGTCTTTCTTTCTTTTTTTTTTCTGTTTTTTTGAGATAGAGTTTTATGTAGTCCAGGCAGGCCTTAAACGCCACATGCATCAGGGGATGACTTGAACTGCCTCATCTGTTCACCTCCTGAGTGTTGGAACTAACGGAGCCACATCACCACCCCACTGTTGATTCCTGTGCATTCATTAAATCTTATAAAGTATTTAGATTTCATGTTTTACCTAATGTCTATTAAATGCTTGGACCATTCTTTAATTGTACAAATACATTGTGATCGTACAGTCTTCTGCCATGTCCTTTTGTCATATCCCTCCCATGTTGCTGACCACCCCTTCTCCCCAACCAGTCTCCCTCCTACTTTTATGTCTTCTTTTCTCAGTTATTATTTATTATTGAATTTATTTTTAAAACAATCTTTTCTCATTTTCCATGCCTATACCAGTTCCCACTGCCTCCCCTCTTCCTGCTTCCCCCACATTCCCCTACCCCAATGTTGTTTGAGGTTTCTGTTCTGCCCAGTTCTCACAGTTGTTAAGTCCCAAGGAAATCACACAGAGGTCTACAGTAACTATAAACTGATTGGCCCATTAGCTCAGGCATCTTATTAACTCTCATAACTTATATTAGCCCATTATTCTTGTCTATGCTAGCCACATGGCTCAGTACCTTTTTCAGCAGGGCAATCACATCTTGCTTCTTCTGTGGCTGGGCAGGACTGCAGAGGAATGGACTTCCTCTTTCCCAGAATTCTCCTGTTCTCATTGACCTGCCTCTACTCCCTATCTGGTTGTCCCACCTATACTTCCTGCCTAGCTACTGGCCAATCAGTATTTAAAATATAATTGACAGAATACAGACCATTCTCCCACACCACTTCCTGTGCCCATGTGTTGCAGTCTACTTCCCACTTTCTCTTCTATCAGGTTCATTGTGGTCAGATTTATATTGAGGACTTTAATCCATTTGGACTTGAGTTTTGTGCATGGTGATAGATATGGATCTATTTTCATTCTTCCACAGGTTGACATCCAGCTATGCCAGCACCATTTGTTAAAGATGCTTTCTTTCTTCCATTGTATAATTTTGGCTCCTTTGTCGAAAATTAGGTGTTCATAAGTTTGTGGATTAATATCCGGGTCTTTGATTCAATTTCATTGGTCAACATCTCTGTTTTTATGCCAATACCAAGCTGTTTTCATTACTGTAGTTCTGTAATAGAGTTTGAAGTCAAGGATGGTAATGCCTCCAGAAGTACTTTTATTGTATAGGGTTGCTTGGGATATCCTGTTTTTTTTCCATATAAAGTTGATTATTGTTCTCTCAAGGTCTGTGACGAATTTTGTTGGGATTGTATTGAATCTATAGATTGCCTTTGGTAGGATTGCCATTTTTACTATGTTGATCCTACCAATCCAAGAGATGGGAGATCCTTCCATTTTTCTGGTATCCTCTTCAATTTCTTTCTTCAAAGACTTAAAGTTCTTGTCAGATTGATCTTTCACTTCCTTGGTCGGTGTTACCTCAAGATACTTCATGCTATTTGTGGCTATCATGAAAGGTGATGTTTCTCTGATTTCCCTCTTAGCTTTTTTATCCTTTGTGTATAGAAGGGCTACTGATTTTTTTTTTTGAGTTGATCTTGCATCCTGCCACATCACTGATGGTACTTATTAGCTGTAGGAGTTTTCTGGTAGAGTTTTTGGGGTCACTCAAGTACACTATCATATCATCTGCAAATAACGCAAGTTTGACTTCTTCCTTTCCAATTCGAATCCCCTTAATCTCCTTATATTGTCCTATTGCTATTGTTAGAACTTCAAGCACATGTTGAAGAGATATGGTGAGAGTGGACAGCGTTGTCTTGTTCCTGATTTTAGTGGAATCCCTTTTAGGTTCTCTCCATTTAATTTGATCTGTCGGTAGCTTGCTGTATATTGCTTTTATTATATTTAGATATGATCCTTGTATCACTAATCTTTCCAAGACCTTTATCATAAAGGGGTGTTGAATTTTGTCAAATGCATTTTCAGCATCTAATGAAATGATCATATGGTTTTTTTCTTTCAGTTTATTTATATGATGGATTACATTGATGGATTTTCATATGCTGAACCAGCCCTGCATCTCTGGGATGAAACCTACTTGATCATAATGGATGATTTTTTTTGATGTGTTCTTGGATTTTATTGAGCCAGTATTTTATTGAGAATTTTTACATCAATGTTCATGAGTTAGATTGGTCTGTAATTCTCTTTCTTGGTTGAGTCTTTGTGTGATTTTGGTATCAGGGTAACTGTAGCTTCATAAAAAGAGTTTGGCAATGACTCTTCTGTTTCTATTCTGTGGAACACATTAAGGAGTATAGGTATTAGCTCTTCTTGGAAGTTCTGGTAGACTTCTGCACTAAAACTAAAATTCTGGTCCTGGGCTTTTATTTGGTTGGGAGGTTTTTGATGACAGCTTCTATTTCCTCATGACTTATAAATCTATTTAAATTGTTCACCTGGTCTTGATTTAATTTTGGTATATAATATTTATCTAAAAATGTTCATTTCTTTTACATTTTCCAATTTTGTGTCATACAGGCTTTTGTAGTAAGACCTAATGATTCTCTGAATTTCCTCAGTGTCTGTTTGTAACATGGGGGCTTGCTTTTTGCTCCAGCTGCCCAGTTAGCTTAGCCCCGAAATAATTACACAGAAACTGTATTCATTAAAACACTGCTTTGCCCATTAGGTCAGGCTTCTTATTAACTCTTATAACTTATATTATTAACCCTTTATTCTTATCTATGTTAGCCACATGGTTCAGTACCTTTTTCAGCTGGGCAGATCACATCCTGCTTCTTTGGTGTCTTGACAGGACTGCAGAGGAATGGGCTTTCTCCTTTCCAGAATTCTCCTGTTCTGATTGTCCCACCTCTACTTCCTGTCTGGTTGTCCTGCCTATATTTCCTGCCTGGCTACTTGCCAATCATCGCTTATTTAAAACATAATTGACAGAATACAATTGTCCCACACCATCTGTTGTTATGTCTTCCTTTCCATCTCTGATCTTGTTAATTTGAGTGTTCTCTCTCTGTCTTTTGATTAGTTCAGATAGGGTTTGTCAATCTTGTGGATTTTCTCAAAGAACCAGCTGTTTGTTTCATTAATTCTTTGGTTTGTTTTCTGTTTTTAGTGAGTGATGTTAGACCTGATAACAATATTTCACGTATACAGCCAGGGATAGAAACAAGTCACAGAGGAAAAATAGGGACATGATACAATCAAAGCTATGCATGCAGCTGGGTGGTGGTGGTGCATGCCTTTAGTCTCTGCACTCAGGAGGCAGAGGCAGGCGGATCCTCTGTGAGTTCAAGGTCAGCCTGGTCTACAAGAGCTAGTTTCACGATGGGCTCCAAAGCTATAGTGAAACCCTGTCTCGCAAAACAAAAACAAACAAACAAAATGCTATGCATGCAGCTGAATTTGTTTAGGCAATTACACTAGTAATTACAAAACATGAAGTATCAATCTAATATTATCAATAAAAGCCAGGAGTCAGATATCAGGATAAAAACCTGGAAGATCAGAGAATGAGGAGCAGCAGCCAGTTGCTTTCTTCCTCTCTCGCGCCTCAGTCTGCAAGTGGACTGAGACCCTGTCTCCATCTCCACATTCCTGCTTTCTGTCTCCACCTCCTGAGTGCTGGGATTAAAAGTGTGGGCCACCACCATCCAGCTTCTGTGATTAACTAGGGGGTAGCTCTGCCATCTGATCACCAGGCAAGCTTTATTTGTTAGAGCACAAACAAAATATTACACAATAAGAACACAGTAAGATTGTTTTTCCTTTTTTTCATTTTTCTTTTCTTATTGAAATTATAATATAATTACATCATTTCTCTCTCCCTTTTCTTCCTTCCAAACCCTCCCATACGTCCCTACTTGCTTGCACTTTTTCATTAACTTCTTTTACACACACACACACATATGCACACGCATCTGTATTCCTAAATACTCAATCTGAATAATGTGACTTAATATGTATGTTTTCAGGGCTGATCACTTGGCTATTGGATAGCTAATTGCTGTGCTCTTTCCTGTATAAGTCTATTTCTCTATTTCTCCCCCTTTCAGCATTCCTTAGTTGAAAACATTCCTTCCTTCCTTCCTTCCTTCCTTCCTTCCTTCCTTCCTTCCTTCCTTCCTTCCTTCCTTCCTCCCTCCCTCCCTCCCTCCCTCCCTCCCTCCCTCCCTCTTTCTTTCTTTCTTTCTTTCTTTCTTTCTTTCTTTCTTTCTTTCTTTCTTTCTTTCTTTCTTTCTTTCTTTCTTTCTTTCTCTGAGACAGGGTTTCTCTTTGTAACCCTTGTCTTGGACTCACTCTGTAGATCTGGCTGCCTTCAGACTCACAGAGGTTCTCCTGCCCCTGCCTCTCAAATGCTGAGCTTAACAGCCTGTGCCACAATCCTGACTGCTTTTGGCTTGTTGCATAGAGTTGAGGCCTTTATGTCTTACCCCAGTCCACTCCAGCTGTTTTCCTTGTTCAATTCTTGATGTCTTCCTTGCTCATCACCCCAGGAAAATCTGTTGTCATCTTTGTTCATTTCAAGTTTAGGCAGTCATGTTGGTGAGACTTTATGGGTGTAGTTTCTGGCATTCCTAGGAGACACAATTTTACCTTAAAT